AAGGAAGGAAGGAAGGAAGGAAGGAAGGAAGGAAGGAAGGAAGGAAGGAAGGAAGGATTCACTGAACTTTCTGAATCATGTATGAATAATAATATATTAGGCCTTTAGGTAAGCTACAGCTTTTGTACAAGCAAGGTCTTTTTAGGAGGAGGAGGAGGAGGAGAACACTATCTGAAGTATAGGAAACATTCTTGACAGACTAGACCGCAACCATTGCACAGACAGTTACAGGCCTGATTTACTTAAATGTATTTCTCTTTAAACTTATTTCTCAAAAGCTAACACAATCAAAAAGGCCTCTGGTAAGATGGAGTAGAGGACTCCAATTTTAAAGACTTTGCAATCAGCAAAAAATGTACTGACTCTTAAAGATAAAGATGGAAAGAGATTACTATTGTGGGAATACTTCTGGATTATATCAAGAGATTATTTCCTCAGGGCCTGTGTTCAATTGATTGCTGTATAATTATTTTGAAGCTGGTAAGTACTTGATATCGGAATTTGTGACAATTTACTAGGAAGAGAAAATGCTGCTTCTGCATTTATGTGAGAGGAAAGAATATCTTTTAGCTTTCAACCCAGCCAGCAAATGAAAAAGAATCCTCACATTTTGCAACTCACAAGTGAGAAGATGGCCTGAAAGAAGTTGCAAATGCATTCCACTGCTTCTGGGTATTACAATTCCTTATTGGCTATTTTATCTGTATATGGGTGCTACACTCCAAAACTCAACCTTTATGTTTGTAACCAGATATTAGAAACATCCCATTACTTTCCAGTATTATCTCCACATGCACAGAAACGCAAAAGCATGACCTACAAGCAGTGGTTTTATTCCCTACTGCTGATATGACTGGCATTTGAAATGTTTAAGGACAACCTACATATTCCCCTCTTTATTTAATCTGAGGATTAGAATCTGTGTTTCTCCCTTAATTCAGAAGGTCCAGAGAATAAAGGCTTATTTCAGGAGACTCCAGAAAGTATCTGATTTAAGCTTCTGCATTAACTGTTTTGGTTTCAGGGAGATACTGTGAAAATATCAGAAAAGTGGTATTTTCATAATTTGAAAGGGGTAGGGAGGAGACAAAGCAAATGAATTCTGAGATAAATTGGAAAATGTTTTGTGATAGGAAGAATAAACATTTAATTGGATACCTTATTGAAATCTATTTGTTTAAAGTTTGTATTGTCTATCTAAGAATAATTGTAAGTGTATAATTTATATTACCATTTATTAGTTTTATAAAAAAAACCCAACATAATTATGTAATGTATATTTATGGATTTTTGAAAGAGGGTTTTGTTGTTATGATGTGGGATTACACGATCCTTGTGGAGGAAAAAAAAGTCAGATTTAATTGTGCATTAATTCTGAAACATCTAATGATTCCTTTTTTAATTGGGGCTACCCATGCGTAAATAAAGACGCATGTATAGCTGTGCATGATCTCTGAACGAGGTGGTTGTAATATAATTGATATATTTAGGCCAGAGACCTAGTTGTGCTACTCTGAATTGGACCAAAGCCAGTGGGGGTTGCCTTGGTTACGGCAATTTAGAACAGAAGCTTCAGGCCGAGGGAATCACAAATGTGGATTGGTTGTTAGAAACTAAAAGCTATATAATTGCCCAGCTTTGGAATACTTAGGAAGGATTGTAAAACAATAGCTCAGTTTGACAGGCAGAGAGCAAATGTTGGTAAACTATGAGTGGGGGGACAGTTAAGGGTGAGGGGTAAGTGAGTCAGCATTAAGTGTGTCATCCACTGAAGTGTGCACCAACACAAGCACAGGAAACAGAACCCCCACTGGGTCAAAAATCTATCAGTGCTTGGAGTACTATATATTTATGAACAGGCACATAATATGTTCCAAATACACATAGAATTGGTCTTCTAGGTGCAGCAGGTGGGGAAAATGTCTTAACACACATAGATCTGTGGCCACCCTTCCATGTTCTTTCAGCATCTGCAAGGGGTTTAGAAATCTCACTTTTAAACTTAATCAGGACAAATCTGTTCCAGGGATTTCCCTTTCTGGAGTTGCAATTAACTGCTACTGAGAGCAGAATTTTAGGAGGGGTTGTAGGAGACTTTATTCTCTTTCAAGAAGTTAAATTATAATTTACTTGGCCTCCTAGTGGAAAAATATGAAACCTTATTTATTAAATGTATTTGACAATGTTTGTTCTATTTGGGTTTATAAGATTTTTTTTCACATTAAACACATAGGCTTTGCGTTTGTTTAAGATCAGGGGTTTGTACCAAGGCATAAAGTAAGCGATAGAAATAAAGGATTATAAAATGTGACAAAGAATATAATTCCCCCTTGTTCCCATTTACCAGAGCAACTTTATTACAATTCAATCCTATGTTATGCATTATTGCTTTGAATATGTGCACAGGATCGTAGCAACAGACACAGGGATGAAAAAGATATTACACTGCGTACAATAAGATAGTAGACAATTACCTGAAAATGTATTAATCTCACTTGCACAAGCTTTGCTCAGTCTCAAAATCATAAAGTTGTTAAAACAAACAGCAGCAATCATGTTAAACCTGCCTAATAAAGCACTTCTAT